TTTTTAAAATAAAACCACAGAGCCAGAGGTGTAGCCAAGGGGTGGCCAGTGCCATCCAGCAATTATGGTTATGGTAAACCAATGAGTGAATGTGTGCTGGTACCCTTCAGAAATGCTGCTCTGTGAGCTACATAATGAAGTGTCCTATGCGATGGTAAGATGATTTAACTGTCAAAAATTTGTCAGTTATAATCGTTTATCATGATAACTAATTTCTTTTCACAGTTGAATATATGTGTGTGTTGTAGATTATCTTATAATTTACTCTCTGGCTGGCTTTCTAATCAGTAGATCAGGAGATTAGATGTGTGATTTGCAAAAAAGCAAGCCTAAATTAATAACTTCTTTGGCCCGTATATATGAAATATTTTTCTAAAGTTAACGTTGTGCATTGAAAAAAAGTTAGATATTGAATTTACTTGATTTAAATACATTATTTCCTTGTTAATTACTAAAATATGTTACATCAAGAGTTTTGTCTTTCAGTTTACTTCCAACAATAGTTGTATTGATATAATATTTTATTCCTGTGGAAGTAATGGACAGATTTAGTTGTGTACAGAGAAAAATTACATGTCAATTTGTCATTTTTATACAATAATGCTATTTTTTTTTCAGCAATATGCCACCCCAGTAAAATGTCTGGGTCTTACCTGGTCACCTCATTCTAAGTTTTAGCTATGCCCCTTCACAGAACTGTGTTCCTTTTGTAGCGTAAACTGTGCTTGTGAGTGCAGTTATGTACATTGCTCTTGGTTTTACTTAGGGAATGTTTTGTTGTTGGTAATGTTTATTGGCGTAACACAATAATTATAGTGATCATTATTATACTAACAATGATAACAACTAATTATTATTATTATTATTATTATTGTGCCTTTTTACAAAGCACCTTTCATATCTTCAAATTGCAGCGCAATGTAATATGAAAACTATAATCAAAAGATTAGTGAAAAATACAGAAATACTAATAATCATGGTAACAGTAATTAGAATGAAAACATAGAATAAACAGACAACAATTAAAATAGCATAATAAAAATAGTAAACTAGTAATAAAAGAAAAAATAACAAATGTTAAATTGAAGAAATATGTTTAAGTTGTTTTTTTAGTATTAGAAGAAGCCTGAAAAATGTTCATTTGTAATGTGTTCTACAATAAAAGGCTGCTTCATCATTTTTAACTTATTTTAATATGTGGAATATGGAAAGGGCAGGCTAGATGGTCTTAAAGTGTGATTTTAAGCATAGTTTAGCAGACTTTCAAAGATGTGTGAAGGTGCTACACCAGTACAGATGTATAGTTAAGCGCAAAATCAATAGGCAGCCAGTGTTGTGGTGCTAAAACTGGTCCGATATAATCTCGTTTTCTAGTATGTGTTTAGTGTTCTTTGTGCTGCGTTTTGCATAATTTGTAATGTACAGTGCTGGACTTGGCATTCTGTACTTCACTTACATTTATTTTCAAGAACACTGAAGGTCCAGGCTTTTTTAAACATTGAGCACTGGAACGGTGTCAGTAGTTGGGAGCTTCGTGAGTGCTTTTTTAGGTATAGCATAAAATGTCTAGTAGCCAGTGTAGAGGCTTGAGGTTGAAAGAGGTTAAAACCATAGTAGTGACTTTGCACAAGCAAGAACTGTGGTGTATAGCTTGGTAGTGGACTTCTCTAAAATGTATTGGTACAGAGTTTGTTTAAGCCAAGCTCAGCGCTTTCGTCTTTGTCTCATCCTGATGGATCTGAAGATCTGCTGTTGATGGAGAAAAGAGTACCCTAACTAATTCTTACTCTCTGCTAATGTTGTCTCTTTAATCAAAGCTGGACTGTTTCCTCACTTATCTGACACTATGATACTGCGAATTTCCTGTTTATTAGGTACATCCAGCAAGTAGCATGTTGAGTCTCTTTGGGCCAGAATTGAGAGGGCGGCAGTTTTGACAGACATTTTGATGTAGCATCCAAGTGCAGGTTTACTAGCAATTCAAGATCATGCACATCTAGAAAGGCAAGATTGCTGGCAGGTAGATGTTACGAAGTCCGGGACAAAACAAAAACCTAAACACAGCCCAGAATTGAGGGCAAACATGAGAAAAGGGTCAAAAACCTGGCAAATGGAGAAACCAATTTTACACTCAGAATTATAGAATTCCAACCAGACTTTGCAAAGACAAACAGAGTAGCATGGCTAGAAAAGAAGCTCCAAAAGAGGACAATTTCTTTAAATCCTGATGCTGTCGACACTTACATTGTTGAACAGTCTCCACTGGCTCACCACAAATGAGTGTCTTTCTTTCAGTTTTCCACTGCCTTTAGAAACGAACCATCATCTCTTTTGTTTTTGCTACAAGTAACTGAAGATGAGAACAGTCACACTGCTCAAAAAATGTGTAGAATCTGTAAGCAACTGTGTCACCAACAAATGTAACAAAATGAACAAAATATCTGTGTATAAAAAAAAAAAAAGACACATCCTTGTGGCGATTGTGCAGTATATACAAATATACATGTACATTACGTAATGGTGTATGTTTTCTCCATGTAAGAAAATGTTTATGCCAGTTAAGAGGCTGATTCAAATGAAATGTTTTTGAATGTTAATAAGCCATAACAGATCACAGCATATTACAAGAAAATGAAAAGTCAGCATGTGATTTGGGAGTCTCTTGATGTTTGTGCCAGTATCCATTTGAAAAGTCGGCCTCATCCACCCTCCTGTTTACCTGGTCTTTGGAAATATTGACGGTGTAATTCTGTAGTGACTTTCATCACAAAGTAAGTCAGGTCTCAAGTCATTTAAGACCTTACAGTCCTGGACTATAAAGGCTTGTTATTCAGTTATTTAATATTCTCATAACTACTATAAATTATATGGTAAATATTATGAAGCTAATTTGTTAAGCTAAATGTTTATAGTTATGAGAGTGACTTAACATTATGTGAATTATTCAACTACGTGTATTCTGCTTTCACGCAGGAAATAGAATTTTTTCCTCCTCATTTTTTCTACTTAGAGTTACAGCATGTCGGAAGTAGCTTTTTCATGCAAGGTTATTTGGAATAACGTTCCAGTCAATGTTCTGGGCTCATACACAGACTCCAATTTTAGGTCTACACTTTTAAAAAAGATGGTGCTGTAAGGGTCCCATGGACACTCAAAAAACCCTTTGCATGATTAAAGGGTTCTTTGCATCATGAAAGGGTTCTTCAGACTGATGGTGAATGTGCTGTAGATGGTTCTATAAATACACTTTTTGAAAATGGTTCTATATAGCACTCAAAAGGGCTCTTCTTTTGTTACAGTGTCAAGCTTGTAACAACAGAAGAAACCTTTTGGGTGCTATATAGAAGGCTTTTTTAAAAAGGTCCCATATAGAACCGTCTATAGCACATCCATGCACATTTTCCAACAATCTGCAGAATGCTTTCATGATGCAAAGAACACTTTAATCATGTAAAAGGCTCTTTGAGTGTTCATGGTTCTATATAGAAATATTACCATTACTAAAGAACCTTTAAAGCACCATCTTTTTCAACAGAGCAGGCTACTTGCTTAGTCAAGCCTTTGGTGAGTTGTTTTGCCATTATATAAAAGGTGCAGACCAGGAAGTTCATGGACATGGTGAATTATGGTGGACTGAGAAGCTCGTACTGTCATCTCATCTCTGTTACTTAGGTTTGTTGACAGTGAAATGGATGAGTGCTGACATCTTAGAAAGCCCTCATGTCTCTGCTTCCATCTGGCTCTTGCTTTTTAGTTTAGATGTAACAGTTTGGCCTGCCAGAGTCACTACATGATCTATATTAAGCCTACATATACACATATACAGTCATTTCAAACAGAATTTACTATTTGTTAACCCATTAATTGGCCAGGGCCCACCAGCAGGACCTAATTTTTATTACACGCTTCTATGACCTAAGAATACCTCAGTATTTTTCATTTTGCAGTGAAGTCCCTGTATTTGCTGAATAAAAAGCCTTAGTATGTAATAAGGCTGGGATTTTAAATAAATACACCTATCCAATGATAGGCTCTTTTCTTTTTTCTATATTCATGTGGATATTGAACATTAATTGTCAGATCTCATTCTTTATTCATATTGCTCGTGTTGTGTTGTTTGTTCTGCTATCAGTAATGTATTCTCCTTTAGAGTCTCGGTTCCTCTCAAGTTTTCTTCCTCCTGCTCTTAGGGAGTTTTCTTGCCACTGTCTCTTTGGCTTGCTCATTTGGGGCTTGGACCTGGATTTCATTTAAAGTTGCTTTGTGACAACACATGTTCGAAGGAACGCTATACATATAACATGAATTAAATATTAATTATTGATATAAAGTAAATAAAATGATGAATGATCTTCCACTGGCATTACATAAGTTAATCTTACCGGTTGTTATGGCCTACCATCCTGCTGTAGCATTTTGTTTTCAGTGCCTGATTCCCATCATCTGAACTAACTTTGCCCTTGCCCGTTTTGTATTTTTTTGTGGACATTTTCGTGGACATTTGTCAAATTCTCTCTGCCCTGTGTTTTGGTGGTCGCTCTGATTTTAAATCTTTGGAGTTTGAAGCTGAAGATATTGGTTTGATCACGTCTTTAGGTCACTTGAAGTACCACCTACTGGCTCCACCTCTGGCCATTTTGTAGTTACTTATGGTTTTTCTTTTTTTGTGATGTTTCTCTTGTTCAGTTCAAGCTATTGCATAGTTACAGTAAATGGACATACCAAGAGTATGCTAAAGAAACACATGGCTGTGTTTAGTTCTCTCTACCCATTGTATGCCTACCCATTGTATATTACTAATCATTTAACTCAGTTTTGTCAAAGCTGATGAATATATTAATTTGCTTGTTTGTTCACAGCGAGTGGTCATTTTGGCAAATAGAGAGCTAAGTGAAGCCTGTGTCTACATGTTTTAGATATAAGTAATTAACTTTATTTGAAGGATAAAATTCACTCAGATTTGTCTTTGTGGATGCTTTAATTAAATCAAAGTGCAGTTTGCAAGGCAGTCAGACATTCAGCAAACAATGATCAAATCCAACCAATATTCTCTTTTTTCATTTTAAACAGAGGGGTTCATCTGTGAAACAAGCCATAGGAGCTAAGCTGATTAGTATCATAAATGCTGCGTAAGATTGGTATTACTTAAAATAACCCTTGACAAAGCGGTTATTGGAGTTAATCTGGGGCACCTGGAGCTTCCACTTATCTTTAGCCAGAATGCCGTTTCTGGAGTGGAATATTTTGGCCAGATGGGTGTCCATTGGAGAAGGTTTGTAATCTGCGCACACTGGACCCTGCAGACTAGGAGCACATTCTACAACATAGGAGAAAAAGAAGGTGCCATACTGGAAGAAACATGTGTCAGTAACTTGTCCACTTCTCAGCTCAAAGGAGCACTCTCCAAGAAGGTCACTGCTCCACACGTCTGCATCATATACTTTGAAAGATAGTCTTTGGCCGATGGACATCTTGATAGGACCAAACTCAAATGATTCACTCCAGCTGGGATTGTCATTTTCATCAATTACTGCAGTGCGTTTAAATGTTTCACCATACCTGACCTCTACATACCCATCTGTTTTACTAAACCAGTCTCCATATAAACCGTTTGCGTGGAGGTTGAAAACCTTCATTATGGCAAGACCTCTTCCAGCAGGACAGCAGTTGGACAATATATTTTGATTTTTTTCGCAAACACAGGCACAGGGGTCTCTTGCACTATTGTGATGCCCTATCTTACAGGACCCGGAGCAAACTGTTTTTAAAGCATTGTCACTGATATAATTTTCTACTGCCTTCTTTAGTCCCTCTCTGGCAGGGTGGTTATTGTCCAGCACTGAATGTAGGGGTTGAAGAGTGTATGTTACCACATCTGGGATGGTCTTCAGGGAATCCAACCACTGGTTTAGAGAATCTGGTTGCGAGGTTCTGGAGAAAAGGAGATCTTCACCACTGATCTTCCCTCCTATAAACTCGCTCTCTCGCTCATTAAACATTGAGCTGAAATTTTCATCTGTACTCATTTTCTTCTTTAGTTCTTGACAGTGTTTGAACTCTGCACTCAAAGTAACACCACTGTGTGTGCCTGATGCTTCCACATCCAAACAGTCTTTGACTGCCGTTTCTGAAAGTCCACTTAATGCTGCTTTACAGGTTCTGATGGCTGTTACTGCTTTCATCTTCCCACCTAAGTCCACTCCTGTGGTATAGTGTGTGCCAAATGTGTCGATTATGCGTTGATAGGAATCTGGATCATATTCTTTGGGAAGAGACTGCAGAGCCTTTAGAAACTCGTTATGCAGTGGGGGTGAAGACACTATTTTGTAGCTGCAAAGGAATTTGGAAAGCATTCATATTTATTATTTGTACACAGTCAAACCTATGCAGTATTCATTATTTATGTATTATACCATATAGAATGATTTCACTGCACAGTGGCTCACCTGTAAAAGCTGCAGTGAACAACATGCTTGGTGAAGCTGAAATTGTCCTCCTTTGACTTCTTCATACCGAATTGTGATTCACGGGAATGAGTGCCTCCCACCGAAACCGAACCCTTAGTCATCACATCGAGTCCAATTTTCCAGTTGTTTGAGATTGACGAAGTAGAATCGTTCACAAGAGCTTCACTTGAGTCATAAATCTTGCTGGAAACCTGCATTGAACACTTTGGGAGTGTTCTCCAAAACTCCACAGCAGCAGGTATCTTCTGCTTTGCGTTGTCCAGGTATGTATTACTGTATGTTTTGCAGCTGCCGTTCCCAATGTCCCACTTTTCCATGTCGATGACATAAGACCCTTTTCGCTCCATCTTCACAACATCAAAGCCCTCTCCACCAAGGTTGTAGCCAGGAACAAAGCCAGCATTGTTGCAGTCTTCTGGATCGCCCAGTTCCAGTAGTTCTTCAGCATTCACAATGGAGAGAAGGGAACACCAAATCCAACAGCTGACAAAGTAACGACAGATCCACCCCATTCTGTAAGATAACATAAAAAATTTTTTTTAGCCATTTCCTAAATGATCAGTGGGAATAAGCCTATTACAAACAGCAAACTCATTGTGGTCTGTAGTACAGTCACTGTATATACACATTAAAACATTATTCAGTTCACAGATTTTAAAATTATTTCAATAAGTTCCATCACAACGTATTTATATCTTTTGTCTTACCTGTATCTGAGATAACTCTGAGATGTGAGTCATGCCAAACCACGTCAAATGTTAAATACTAGTGGAAGAAGGAGGGACTTACTCTTTTGGCTTTATTTAGATATCTTTGGTTAAGTACATAAATGGTCATGCATCAGATGTTATCTGCGTTTAGTTTTGGTGGGTCAATCAGTGACCAAAAGATGATACATTGTCATGATTACTAATCAACGTAAAGTAATTTATTTATTATAGCGATATATCTGGACAACACTTTCGCAATCATCTATTTATTTATTTGTTTTTTCGCTTTTCTCACTAGACTGCTAGAATTCTTTTTGTCAAACAAAGTGTTTTTGCACTTGTTACCAAAAGGCCTAGATCTAAAAAAATAATTTGCATGTTTTTTTCCTCCAGTGCCAACTGAAATGTACTTTACAAAAATAAACAATTTATAAAGAAATAAATAAAAAACAAATAAATTCAGCATTCCCTTAGGCTTGCATAAGTTTTGCATTGCATTTTGGACAAAGTGTTGTGCAATAGGGCTTTCTCTTCTTTTCCAGTTGTGATGCAGGTTTATTTATGTAATTTTCCATCGATATATGTAACCCAGAAAAAAAAGGGTTCCTGGGATCTCGCTGGCTTTCTATATTTCATTAAATATGTAGTGAATATAAAATGGGTTCTTAAGCAAACTTGATCTTTTCGAAGTTTCAGGTATCTGTGTTAAAATGCTAATGCTGATGTGTTAGCTAGGTGCTAACATATAAAGGGAGTGAATAAAATAACTGGACTATCTTACATTCACATTTGTTTATTATCTGCCAGAGTGAATTCATAAGGCCTCTGTGTCTATGGGATTGGCTGTTTTGGCTCATCTTTGGCTCATTTTTGGCTCATTTTTAGCCAAAAATGTCAGAAACTGGGTCAGTATGAATGAATGTGTTACGCTGAACATGTTTGAAAACCAAGGATGTCTAGCAGTAAGCCCTTAGTTGTCAGATATAGTACAAACATGTACCAGGAGGCTACAGACTGCAGGCTGAAAATATTGACAAATTTAAAGAGGTTGTCACTGCAGATCTCCTTTACTGCAGAGTTTAGTTATGATCTGCATATAACCCCCCTCCTTACCTAGAACTAATGCAGCTTATCCAGTCAGTCAGGGACGTCTGAAGAGGTTACGTTGCTGGCACAGGTGTGGCAGGTGTGGTTGGAAATAGACTCTCCAAGAAGGTAGACCTCCAGGACCAGCTTTAGTGACTGCTGTTCTATGGCATCGTGCAAAGAACGTTTTTGGCACTTTATTTTATTTATTTATTTATTTTTATTTTTTCTTTTACTTTTTACAGTGCCACTTAGTGCTCTATGTGAATGTCACACCAAGTAGAAGTGATCTGTACTGGTTTCCGGTTAGTATCTGTAATACATACAACAACAATAACAATAATAATGCTTAAGTGATTTAATTAATTGATTAAATGACCCTTATTAGTCCCACAATGGGGAAATTTTACCTCCGCATTTAACCCATCTGTGCAGTGAAACACCACATACACACTAGTGAACACACACACTAGGGGGCAGTGAGCACAGCGGTGGGCAGCCCTATCCGCAGCACCCGGGGAGCAGTTGGGGGTTAGCTGCCTTTCTCAAGGGCACTTCAGTCACGTATTGTTGGCTCAGGGGCTCAAACCGGCTACCTTCCAGTCACAAAGCTGGTTCCCTAACCTCCAGCCCATGACTTAATGCTAAGTGTGTTAGTATTCTTTCTGCTGCATTTTGCATAAGTTGTAGCATACAGTCCTGGAGTTAGCATCCTCTACTTCATTTGCATTTATTTCTAAGAACCTTAAAGACCACAGTTTTAGGTCCAGGCTTATTTAAACGGAAGGCACTGTAACCGTAGCAGTAGTTGGGAGCTTCATGGGTGCTTTGATGCAGTTGCCAGTTTTTTTTAAAAGTGAGGCATAAAAATGTCTTGTAGCAAGTGTAGAGGCGTGAGAACGTGAAAGTTGGCAGCCCTGATAACAATCCACATACTGCCCACTTCACCAAGGAGTGAATCATCAGAAAGAGTGAGTGGAGTCGAAAGAGGTTAAAACCGTATTAGTGACTTTGCACAAGCAAGAACTGTGGTGTATAGCTTGGTAGTCGACTTCTCCAAAATATGGTGTTACACAGTTTCTTTAGCCAAGTAGCGCTTGTAGCGTCTTTATCTCATCCTGATGGATCTGAAGATCTGCTGTTGATAGTGGAGTAAAGGGTACACTGTAGCTAACTTTAATCCTTGCTTTGAGACACAGTGCTAATGTTTCTTCAAAGCCAAAAGTGCTGGTAGGTAGATATTTTGAAAATCCAACGCAAAAAAGAAGCACTGTACAAAATTGAGAGCAACCATGAAAAAGGTCATAAACCAATATAACATTCAGAACTGTGAAAGAATGCCAACAAGACTTTGCAAAAACAAACAGTGGACCAAGGCTAGAAAAAAGCTTTTAATCAGCTGAGATGAACTGTAGGTGAGTAGAAACTGATCAGGGGCTGTATTACTGAAGCTTGTATCTTTTTGTCTCAACTTAAAATCTGACAGGTCAAGATTTTTCACAAATTCGTATTATAGAAATGTTGTAAATAAGAAGCACATCTTTAGTGTGTTCCATTCTGGAGGCATCTGCCTGTTTAGTCACTGCCTTCAAAGGCCCCTCTCTTTTTGGGCAGCATTTTAACTGGAAAGGAACCTTAACAGGCATCACATTTGGGACAGTGCTTCAGAGCCATCGTACGTCATTTGTTTTACGTTTCATCTGTTTACTCGGAGTTGCTTGCTCTCTTACACTCATCTCAGGCTGTGAGAGTGTATAAGGACGACTCTCACATCTGTAACAGCTGTTTTCCTGTATTGACACTGTTGTGGAAATTTGTATATGAAGAACAGGCTGATTTTAAGGAGTCGTATCTCTCATTATATACTCGACTCAGTGCCCCTGATAAATATAAACACTAATTTGTGAATCATTTCAATTCATTCACTGTCCTCATCCACCTTAATGAACCTGCTTTATTTCTAATGCACAAAGGATAAAAAACTATTTACAGGGTGTCCCAAAAAATTGACATTTTTTAGTCTAATAGCCAATTCTCTCTCAAATTATCTCAAATTTAAATTTTTTTTTTTCAGGTTGAAGAATGGCATTCACTAGAAATGAAAAGGCATTTTGTTTGTTAGAATATGCTCAAACACAGTCAAACAAGAATGTGCAGCGTGCATTTTCGAGAAAATTCAATAAAAATGCACCAACTGGAAAGCAGATTTGGACATGGCACAAAAAATTCAAAGAGGAAGGCTGTCTGTGCAGGGCGAAGGGACCTGGACGACCACCAGTATCGGAAGATATTACGTTTGTGAAGCTTTGTGAAATCGGTTATAAAATCTACATCCCTCTGAATTTCTCTTTTTTTTGTTACTTAATTTTTTATTTTTGTTTTGTGCAAATTCACATTCATATCCATAAAGAAAAACAAAAGAGGCGGCAGGAGAAAAAAAACAAAAAACATCAAAGGTACATGAGATCTTATTTAAAGTCGGAGGTTTACAACATTTCAAACATAAAACTCAACAACAATCTCTGTTTACATACAAAAGGCAGAATGATCAGAGTCAAAGGTCTCAGTTCACCACGCTTTCTCGGGTATAGCAATCCCATTTCATCCAGTTTTTTTTCCCTCTCTCCTTTTGAAGACGTACGGAGTAAGTCAACATTTCCATGGAGCGAATATAAGTAACAATTTCAACAAAAAGGTCCACAGTTGGGGGGTTTCTTCTGAGCCAGCACTTAGTAATAGCTTTCTTACAAGCGACCAGAAATATATTCAATAGGTAGCAATCACTCTTACTTAACCCTTCAGGGGTTACACCAAGATACATAGAGTTAAATGAGACCTCCACATTGAAACCCAAGATGTCGGAAATAATTCTCCCCATATTAATCCAAAAGGATTGCATTTTTGGGCAACACCATACTACATGCGCATGGCCTACGTCCATTGCCCCACACTCCCTCCAGCAGGGGAAGTGGGCCCCAGTTAACCTTAACTTGAGTTTGGGCGTTATAAAAAATCTGATCAGACTCTTCCAGCAAAAATCCCTCCAAATCAATGAATTAGTGGAAGTACAATGGTTTTCCCATACTCGTGACCATACTTCCTCTGTTATCTTTTCCTGTATATCTTGTTCCCATCGAAGTCTCACATAATTAGTTGAATTTTTATTCATTAAACAAATGATTTTGTAGAGTTTGCCAATAACCCCTTTATTTCCTTCACCCCTATATGCCTCCATAAAAAACTGAGTCAGTCCTGAGAAAGGACCTGGGTTGGGGCCTTTAACCTCTTTCATATAGAAGTGACGGATCTGTAAATATCTAAAAAAATCCGGTTTTCCAAGGTCAAATGAGTCGCATAATTTCTGGAAACTGTCAAATTCCCCATTTGACAGCATTCTACAGAGGGCAGTAATACCACCTATAGACCACTGTCTGTACCTATGATCATACAATGCTGGAGTAAAATGTGGGTTATAAGCTGGCCAACTCAGTACTTTAATTTCTCTATGAAGCTGGAATCTTTTAATCACCTCAAGCCAGATTTTAAAGGAAAAACCAACCCATTGATTCTTTATTTGCAATAATTCCTTAGTCCTATCAAGACAGCCTAAAACTGACTGTATTGGAATATCCATTAGTGAAAATTCTATATCCTTCCATTTCGCTTCATAGGTTGGATTGCACCAAAGTACAAGTGGTCTTAGTTGAGCAGCAACATAATAATCCTTTAAGCATGGAAGCACCATGCCTCCCTTCTCTCTCGGCAGCATCAAAGTAGAATATTTTACTCGAGGCCTCTTTTTATTCCAAATAAACCTAGAAATATGTGTGTCCCATTCCCTAAACTGTTTGAGAGGAATCTCTATAGGTAAAGCTGTAAATAAATATAATAATTTGGGGAGGATATTCATCTTGACAGACCTTATTCTGCTGC